GTTACACCCCCCCCCCCCCATCCAGTGGGCAGCGGTGGATAGGTTTTCAAGTGTGGGGCCTCACTCCCCCTGATCGTCCCTCACTTACCTGACACGTCAACTGTCCCGAGGACCTGAGTTGGTTAGGTGCGCCGGGGGCACCGTCCGAAGGTTTTACTGAGACGGGGCTATTACCTGGAGAAGTTGCATTTACCAGACAGGTCCAGGGGTGCTGCATTTCGGAGCCCCGCGAGTGGCATGTCTACATAGGACTGGGTAGTTTAACCCGACGTCGCTGGAGTATGTGTTCCTGGACTGTCATCTGCTACTTGCGGGGGGGGGGGGGGGAGCACTGTGTAAGGGGGGAACCTGTGGGCACTTCACCGTGAGGTCTAGGGAGCACTGTCATCACCGAGTATAGGAGCATGTAACTGTTCTATTGTTACGTAAAGTATGGTGACAAATAAACACAGACACTAAGATACTATATATATATTTGGTCGAATATACAGAAGTACACAGGTGATACTTTGGTGTGAGTTGAGCGCACTGAGCGTCGGTACAGTATCTCGCAAGTGTCTGCTCTAGACCACACTTGAAAGTAGACTAGTTAATGTTTGCTATTCTGCTGCTTATATGCTCGGGCAACACCTCACCGCGTTGCCCGGGCAACGCCTCACCTTATTCATCTCCAAAGGTTGACAGGAATATTAACAATGCATTTGGAGCGAGTATATTATTGGGATAATCTACTCGCTACAAGCACTTCACTGTAAAGTGCCAGGGAAGCTGTGTCGGGTGTGGACCGCCGGCGCTCGGTGTTTACACCTTAGTTGGGGGTCACTCCGTGTGATGGCGCTCAGGTTCTCCTCCTGCGCCTCACCAGGGGTGCTGTAGATTTCTTTCGACTTGGGACGCTATCTGAACGTGGGTTCTGATGCTGGGGGAACCCAGGAGAGGCTGGGTTCAGTATCCCTAACTTGGTGGGGCATTTCTGCGAAAACTGCTGCTTGGTTGTTCACCGCTCGTTAGAGTTTCCAGGAATGGCATCGTTACACACACTCGCATCTCATTAGGTGGGGGAGGCTAGCAGGAAAACTGTTTCGCCTACGACTGACAGCCTTGGACGAGATGCCCACAAAGGCAACAAACTATGCCTATTGTGCCAATAAGAGCATTTGTTGCAGTTAGAGAATTGTTTGAGCGTAATATGGGGGTTGGCAGGCGTGGCTGGGTGTAAGAATTGGTGTTGAATTTGTTTACATAGGTTATATAGGCGGGGTTTGTTGGCCTTATATACTAGAGGAGACTCAGGCCTTATGCACAGTGTGTGCATAAGGCCTGATCACCTTCTGTGGTTGAGTGTTCAATAAACCCTTGAACTATATGTTTAACACTTCTCTAACCCTGTTCATGGAGGACAGAAGAAAATGTATATATGCTGGTTAGCATTGTAAATGTGTGGTCACGTCTGTGGTAGAAAATAATAAAAAAAAAAGTGTGTGGGGTGGGAGGGATTGTGTGGGGGTGATCGTGTACTCCCCTAGTGTGTGGGGGTGGGAGGGACTGTGTGGGGGTGGTCGTGTACTCCCCTAGTGTGTGGGGTGGGAGGGGCTGTGTAGGGGAGGGGGTGTAAGAGTGGCGGGATCCCCGGGGGATAGTGTATGCGTCAGGTGTGACTTGGGGGATAAGAGGGGGGGGGGAGTTGTGGGTGGGGGGGGTGTTACTACGTGTTGAAGGAGTGTGGGGTTGGGGGTGGGTAGTGACGTATGGGAGGGGCAAAACTTCCCCCTCACCTGTCTTCTGGGTATCCTCAGATCCTACCCCCAACCCCCCTACCCTCCCCCTCACAACAACGAAGACCTTGACAACCTGTGAGTGGGTGAAGGAGGTGGCAAGCGACGCAATATGTTCCAGATAGTTTCGTAGAGTTTTCTGCAGCACGATTCTCTTGTTATCAATGAATGTTGCATGATGCCCACAAGGTAGAGCAAGGCTGGCTTCCTGTTACGGGAGACTGCCGTAATACTGTTGGTGTAGCAACGAGACAAATGAGTTCATCATACAAACGATAACGTTGAGTTAAAGAATGAGTGTTAATCATCACCTTATTATCTGGACCGCTGGCTATCGCTCGAACTATTATTTCATAGAAAATGGGAGGTCGGCGCTCAATAAGGGCGTTAAAATCCTTAAGAGTGAATATATTAAATCTCAAAACAGGTTTATGCGAGGTGTAAATCTCCTCTTCCACCTACCCCCCCCCCCTCACACACACACATACACACGCACACACACACACACATAAGGGGGACACGCACTAGGGGACACAGGTGGAAACTGAGTGCCCAAATGAGCAACAGAGATATTAGAAAGAACTTTTTTAGTGTCAGAGTGGTTGACAAATGGAATGCATTAGGAAGTGATGCGATGGAGGATGACTCCTTACACAGTTTCAAGTGTAGATATGATGGAGCCCAATAGACTCAGGAAGCTGTACACCTGTTGAGAGGCGGGACCAAAGAGCCAGAGCTCAACCCCCGCAAGCACAACTAGGTGAGTACAACTAGGTGAGTACACACACACACACAGAATCCTGTGGTCCCGGGTTCGATTCCGGGCGCCGGCGAGAAACGATGGGCAGAGTTTCTTTCACCCTATGCCCCTGTTACCTAGCAGTAAATAGGTACCTGGGAGTTAGTCAGCTGTCACAGGCAGCTTCCTGATGTGTGTGAGTGTGTGTGTGTGGTGTGGGGGAAAAAATTAGTAGTAGAAACAGTTGATTGACAGTTGAGAGGCGGGTGAAAAGAGCAGAGCTCAACACCCGCAAGCACAACTAGGTTCTTGCGCAGAGTTCAGTCCTTGGACCTATACTGTTTATGATATATGTAATTGATCTACCAGAGGGAATAGAATCATTCCTCTAATTGTTTGCTGATAATGTAAAAATTATGAGAATGATTAAGGCGGTGGAAGATAGTATGAGTCTACAAGATGACCTAGACAGACTGAATGAATGGTCCAACAAATGGCTACTAAAGTTCAACCCGAGTAAATATAAGGTAATGAAACTAGGCAGTGAAAACAGGAGGCCAGACACAGGATACAGAATGGGAGATGAAATCCTTCATGAAATGGACAGAGGGAAAGATCTAGGAGTTGATATCACACCAAACCTGTCTCCTGATTTGGTACCCAAATGAGCCACAGAGTCGTTAGAAAAAAATCAGTGTCAGAGTAGTTAACAGATGAAATACACTAGACAGTGATATGGTGGAGGCTGACTCCATACACAGTTTCAAATGTAGATATGATAGAGCCCAATAGGCTCAGTAACCTGTACACCAGTTGATTGACAGTTGAGAGGTGGGACCAAAGAGCCAGAGCTCAACCTCCGCAAGCACAACTAGGTGAGTACACACATGCGGAGGCCTCGCGGCTGAGTGGACAGCGCTCTGGGGTCGTAGTACTAAGAGCCCGGGTTCGAGCCCCGGTAGAGGCAGAAACAAATGGGCAGGGTTTCTATCACCCTAGTGGCTCTCTTCACCAAACAGTAAATAGGTACCTTGGAGTTAGCTGCTGCGGGCTGCTTCCTGGGGATATGTGTGTGTGTGTGTACTTACCTAGTTGTATCACTAGTTGTGCTTGCGGGGGTTGAACTCTGCTCTTTCGGCCCGCCTCTCAACTGTTAATTAATTGTTACTAACTACTATTCCCCCCCACCCCCACACACACATGCTGGAAGCAGCCCGTAACAGCTGACTAACTCCCAGGTACCTATTTACTGCTAGGTAACAGGGGCATTAAGGTGAAAGAAACTCTGCCCATCGTTTCTCGCCGGCGCCGGGAGCCGAACCCGGGCCACAGGATCACGTGTGCAGCATGCTATCCACACAGCCACCTGTGTGTGTGTGTACTCACCTAATTGTGCTTGCGGGGGTTGAGCTCTGGCTCTTTGGTCACGCCTCTCAACCGTCAATCAACAGGTGTGCAGGTTCCTGAGCCTATTGGGCTCTATCATATCTACACTTGAAACTGTGTATGGAGTCAGCCTCCACCACATCACTTCCTAATGCATTCCACTTGTCAAGCACTCAGACACTAAAAAAGTTCTTTCTAATATCTCTGTGGCTCATTTGGGCACTCAGTTTCCACCTGTGTCCCCTAGTGCGTGTGCCCCTTGTGTTAAATAGCCTGTCTTTATCTACCCTATCAATTCCCTTCAGAATCTTGAATGTGGTGATCATGTCCCCCCTAACTCTTCTGTCTTCCAGCGAAGTGAGGTTTAATTCCCGTAGCCTCTCCTCGTAGCTCATACCTCTCAGCTCGGGTACTAGTCTGGTGGCAAACCTTTGAACCTTTTCCAGTTTAGTCTTATCCTTGACTAGATATGGACTCCATGCTGGGGATACATACTCCAGGATTGGCCTGACATATGTGGTATACAAAGTTCTGAATGATTCCTTACACAAGTTTCTGAATGCCGTTCTTATGTTGACCAGCCTGGCATATGCCGCTGATGCTATCCTCTTAATATGGCCTGCAGGCGGGCAGTTGAGAGGCGGGCCGAAAGAGAAGAGCTCAGTCCCCGCAAGCACAACTAGGTAAGTACAACTAGGTGAGCACACACACACAATACTAGCGACTATTCTCTCCCAATAAATTTTGTCAGGAAACAGGACTGTCTTATCGAGATTAATTTGACGTGCAAAAGCTGCTGTTGTCATTCAATAAAAGGAAATTATTGTATATATAGTTTAATTTGCTATAATTCACTTAATATTACGAAAAACTATATATACACAGTTCAGGGCAATCAAAATAGTAATCTACAGTACAATTTCCTTTGGAGCGTTAGTTGGCATCACAGGTAAGACCGTTCCTCCCCCCTCCGCGTCTGCTTCCTCACCCCCCTCCCCGCAGGCTTCCCCCACTAGTGGCCCCGCCCCAACTTCCTTCAGGTTAACTGTGAGGCGGGAGTAAGAGGACCCAGCCGTCCCCAGTACCGTGGCAGGGGAGGAGGGAGGAGTGTAGCTAGTGCGGGATCCCCACTTGTTGTGTGTGAACCAGCGCTCTGACACTCGCCCCATTAACCACACCAGTGTTGGAGTTCCAGTCAATTATTCTGGTGGCAGTAAGGCTTCGCGGTCCACTGTGATTGTGAGGGGCTCCAGAGATTGTGAGATAGCTCCAGAGATTGTGAGGGGCTCCAGAGATTGTGAGATAGCTCCAGAGATTGTGAGGGGCCTCCAGATATTGTGAGTTAAAGGACGTGGCGGAGAGAGAGTGTAGTGTGAGAAGCGGGCTCTGGCGCACTGGGCCACCAGCCCCGTGTGTGTGAATGGCGAGCCACTACCAGTGAAAGTTGTGTCGGCCCGCCCAGGTAGAAAGTGGTTGGACGTGTTGGCTGATCCCCCGGGGATACCCACGCGCCTACACCTGTCGCACCACGCGACTTCAACACCTACAACACGCCTCTTGGCCTTCTGCACCTGTAGTCTTGCTGTCGTTCATGTCTGCAGTACCTTCTCCAGCTGCTTGATGCAGTGACAAGAGCTGTCACACACCTGTAGCGTGACCTTACACACACGTGTAGTGCTTGCCTGAAGGCCGTGTGGTACACCTGTCACAGGACCCTCTCGTAGCTGCAGCAGTCCCGGACAATATGCAGCACATCACCGCGATACAGAACCAATGCATTGATGTGTGAAGCTCAGGTACTATGTAATTTGTATTCTGACACACCTGAGCCACGCCTCTCACAGTCATCCTTGCTTGTGAAACACCAGCGCTGCATACCTCACCTGTGGACACCAGCGGAGTACCCACATCCCTCATACATCCTGCAGGAGGTGCAGGCCGGGAGGTGGTCGAGGCTGGGCCATGCTGAATGATTATCTTATCTTATCATCCCACTTATTATAACTGATAAATATTTCTACCGTTTGTGAGTGGTGACTGGCAGGGAGCGTGACCACACCACCAGGGTGACAGAGATTGATACTGGGAAGAGTGGAGTTCATGTGGAGTGCAGGTGAGAGGTGGAGCGTTGTGCTGGAGTAGAACACCCGCCCGGCCTCTCACGCCTCCCAATGACACCACGTGTGTTGCCTGCTACCGCCAGTGTGGCTTCTGTGTCCGCAGTGATTACTTCTGTGATATAGTGCGCTCATCGGAGCTTCACTATACCTTATGAAATGGGTAGTGCAGAGTAGCGTGTGTAGCGCAGAGCAGCGTGTGTAGTGGGGGAGCAGCGTGTGTAGCGCAGAGCAGCGTGTGTAGTGGGGGAGCAGTGTGTGTAGTGGGGAGCAGTGTGTGTAGTGGGGGAGCAGCGTGTGCAGTGGGGGAGCAGCGTGTGTAGTGGGGAGCAGTGTGTGTAGTGGGGAGCAGAGTGAGGGGAGGAGGCACGGTGCACCTCAGCAGTCAGCCGCCGTGACCGCTGACCCATATTCGCGCACTGTGCCACAGCTGTTGCTGCTGTAGGTACCAGTACTCACCTGTACACGTGCTCAGGTTGATTACTGGTGGGAGCAGTGTGTTGTTGCCCCGTCCCGCGGCGGTGACCACGTGCGGCAGGTCTCCTCGCCCGTCCCGCGGCGGTGACCACGTGCGGCAGGCCTCCTCGCCCGTCCCGCGGCGGTGACCACGTGCGGCAGGTCTCCTCGCCCGTCCCGCGGCGGTGACCACGTGCGGCAGGTCTCCTCGCCCGTCCCGCGGCGGTGACCACGTGCGGCAGGCCTCCTCGCCCGTCCCGCGGCGGTGACCACGTGCGGCAGGTCTCCTCGCCCGTCCCGCGGCGGTGACCACGTGCGGCAGGCCTCCTCGCCCGTCCCGCGGCGGTGACCACGTGCGGCAGGTCTCCTCGCCCGTCCCGCGGCGGTGACCACGTGCGGCAGGTCTCCTCGCCCGTCACGCGGCGGTGACCACGTGCGGCAGGTCTCCTCGCCCGTCACGCGGCGGTGACCACGTGCGGCAGGTCTCCTCGCCCGTCCCGCGGCGGTGACCACGTGCGGAAGGTCTCCTCGCCCGTCCCGCGGCGGTGACCACGTGCGGCAGGCCTCCTCGCCCGTCCCGCGGCGGTGACCACGTGCGGCAGGTCTCCTCGCCCGTCCCGCGGCGGTGGCCACGTGCGGCAGGCCTCCTCGCCCGTGGCAGCGGCGAGGGCCAGGAGGGCCGGCCACCCAGGCATGAGGGGCGGCAACAAGTGGGTGGTGTGGGCGGCGCGGCCTGGCGGTCCCTGACGGAGTGAGATGCACGCCCATACACTCTTGCACGCCCCCGCTATGGCCACCCTCTACCACACCGCCCACGACCCACGCCCGCCCACACCGCCCTCCTCCCCGCCCCCCCTCGACGACAAGGTGTACAGCAGGACCTACAACAGTGTTATAAGCTACAACTGCCAGGACGGCGGGAGATGCGAGGCGGGGTTCGAGTCGTGGCCGGGGGCGGCGCTGAAGGAGAGGGAGACTCGAGCAAGCACAAGAAGTATTGAGAGGTCATCACTAGCGTGCGAGGGTGAGGGCGCGTGCGAGGGCGGCCAGGAGGCTGCTGCCAGGGAAGACGTGGTATTGATCCGTGACGAGGTGTGCGCAGCGGCGAGGGGGATCACCAGTGCTACGGTGGGAGGTGGCGAGCACGCAGCAGCGTCGCGCCGCTCCTGCTGCCATGACGCAGGGCGCGCAGCAGTGCTCAGTGCAGCAGCTTGTGGCGAGTGTGTGATGAAACATAAGTGCGGGGCGTTGCTGACTCTCCACGACCACGCTGACCACGCAAAGTCCAATGCCTCTATGGCGGCTTCCGACGCCCCCCTTCAGCAGCAGCCTGCTGGCTCGGGAAGTGCTATGGTCACCAGCAGCAGCAGCAGCAGCAGCAGCAGCGGTGCCCCTCTGCGCTCAGCCCTCAAGCGCGCGGGCCAGAAGAGCAGAGGGCACCGCGTCTGCATTAACGAGGCTAAAAATGAGTGTTTAGAGGCCGACTATGTGATTGTTGTGCACGAGGAGAGTGAACCGCAACTGGTGTCAATCAGGTCGTTTGACCTGAGCCTGGCGCCGGGGTCAGCAGGTGTGGAGCAGGTCACACTCTCCCCACCTGAAGGATACAAGGACTGCTTCACTCACGCTCTCCATGACACCATCCTCGACGACTCAGGTCAGTACATTATCTGCTTGTGTTGGTGTCAAGCGGCGCCAGGGTGCCAGACCCGCGCACTCCCATCATCTCCATGGTGCCAGGTCCGCGCGGTGACATCCAGCTGTTGGTGCCAGGTCCGCGCGGTGCCATTCAGATGCTCATGTCAAGTCCTTGCGGTGCCATGCAGGCGTTCCTGTCTGGCTCTGACTGTCAAGCCACTGTGCTTGTGTTAGCAACACAGTGAAGTTTACACCTGTTTGGCCCTCCCATGGTGGTGGAGGGAGGTCACCGTGCACCTGTCTGGCCCTCCCATGGTGGTGGAGGGAGGTCACCGTGCACCTGTCTGGCCCTCCCATGGTGGTGGAGGGAGGTCACCGTGCACCTGTCTGGCCCTCCCATGGTGGTGGAGGGAGGTCACCGTGCACCTGTCTGGCCCTCCCATGGTGGTGGAGGGAGGTCACCGTGCACCTGTCTGGCCCTCCCATGGTGGTGGAGGGAGGTCACCGTACACTGTCACATCCTCCCATGGTGGTGGAGTTAGGTCACCGTACACTGTCACATCCTCCCATGGTGGTGGAGTTAGGTCACCGTACACTGTCACACCCTCCCATGGTGGTGGAGGTCACCGTACACTGTCACATCCTCCCATGGTGGTGGAGGGAGGTCACCGTACACTGTCACATCCTCCCATGGTGGTGGAGGAGGTCACCGTACACTGTCACATCCTCCCATCACAACACTGTCGTCCTGCCGTTTAATATACCGTTCTCTGTCAATTTACATATCTGTGCCGCCAACGACATCGCATACTAATTAGGTATGATTTTATTTTATGTAGTTGGCAAAACTGTCAAGTGGTGACACATTGGTGTGGACACATAGGTGGCGACACATTGGTGTGGACACATTGGTGGTGACACATTGGTGTGGACACATTGGTGGTGACACATTGGTGTGGACACATAGGTGGCGACACATTGGTGTGGACACATTGGTGGTGACACATTGGTGTGGACACATTGGTGGTGACACATTGGTGTGGACACATTGGTGGTGACACATTGGTGTGGACACATTGGTGGTGACACATTGGTGTGGACACATTAGTGGTGACACATTGGTGTGGACACATTGGTGGTGACACATTGGTGGTGACACATTGGTGTAGACACATTGGTGTGGACACATTGGTGGTGACACATTGGTGGTGACACATTGGTGTAGACACATTGGTGTGGACACATTGGTGGTGACACATTGGTGTGGACACATTGGTGTGGACACATTGGTGGTGACACATTGATGTGGACACATTGGTGTAGACACATTGATGTGGACACATTGGTGTAGACACATTGGTGTAGACACATTGGTGTAGACACATTGGTGTGGACACATTGGTGGTGACACATTGGTGTAGACACATTGGTGTGGACACATTGGTGGTGACACATTGGTGTGGACACATTGGTGGTGACACATTGGTGTGGACACATTGGTGGTGACACATTGGTGTGGACACATTGGTGGTGACACATTGGTGTGGACACATTGGTGGTGACACATTGGTGTGGACACATTGGTGTGTGACACATTGGTGGTGACACATTGGTGTGGACACATTGGTGGTGACACATTGGTGTGGACACATTGGTGGTGACACATTGGTGGTGACACATTGGTGTGGACACATTGGTGTGGACACATTGGTGGTGACACATTGGTGGTGACACATTGGTGTGGACACATTGGTGGTGACACATTGGTGTGGACACATTGGTGGTGACACATTGGTGTGGACACATTGGTGTGGACACATTGGTGGTGACACATTGGTGTGGACACATTGGTGGTGACATATTGGTGGTGACACATTGGTGTGGACACATTGGTGTGGACACATTGGTGGTGACACATTGGTGTGGACACATTGGTGGTGACACATTGGTGGTGACACATTGGTGTGGACACATTGGTGGTGACACATTGGTGTGGACACATTGGTGGTGACACATTGGTGTGGACACATTGGTGGTGACACATTGGTGTGGACACATTAGTGTGGACACATTGGTGTGGACACATTGGTGGTGACACATTGGTGGTGACACATTGGTGTGGACACATTGGTGTGGACACATTGGTGTGGACACATTGGTGGTGACACATTGGTGGTGACACATTGGTGGTGACACATTGGTGTGGACACATTGGTGGTGACACATAGGTGGTGACACATTGGTGGTGACACATTGGTGGTGACACATTGGTGTGGACACATTGGTGTGGACACATTGGTGTGGACACATTGGTGGTGACACATTGGTGGTGACACATTGGTGTGGACACATTGGTGGTGACACATTGGTGTAGACACATTGGTGTGGACACATTGGTGTAGACACATTGGTGTGGACACATTGGTGGTGACACATTGGTGTGGACACATTGGTGGTGACACATTGGTGGTGACACATTGTTGTAGACACATTGGTGGTGACACATTGGTGGTGACACATTGGTGTGGACACATTGGTGGTGACACATTGGTGTGGACACATTGGTGTGGACACATTGGTGGTGACTCATTGGTGGTGACACATTGGCGTGGACACATTGGTGTAGACACATTGGTAAGGACACATTGGTGTGGACACATTGGTGTGGACACATTGGTGTAGACACATTGGTGTAGACACATTGGTGTGGACACATTGGTGTGGACACATTGGCGTAGACACATTGGTGTAGACACATTGGTGTGGACACATTGGTGGTGACACATTGATGTGGACACATTGGTGTGGACACATTGATGTGGACACATTGGTGTGGACACATTGGTGTGGACACATTGATGTGGACACATTGGTGTGGACACATTGGTCTTGTATCTTGTCTGTAGCCATAGTAACACCTAATTACTGTTACCGGTAATCAGGTCCGTCTTATCAGGAGCCCGTCACCATATTTCAGTTCCTCATCCTTGGACGCTATGTTTTGTGTGAGAAGAACATGTTTATAAACCTTCAGCGTTTATAAACATTCAGATGTTTATACTTGCTGGTGGAAGAATTCTCTTATGAAATTACGTGAACAATCCAAGGGCTTATAGCGCCTGTCATGTAACTATTAAGGTTCAGAATTGTAGAGGTGTATTCCCGAGAATATTGAAGGTATGACAACTCTTAGAAGAATCACCCGAGGCACGAGTGAGTAGTCTGCCATGACACACAGCTTGGACAATTAATTACCATATGAATTAGTAATTACCGGAGCCAGAGGAGGGGAAGGTCGGGATCCAGCCGCTGCCACAGAGGAAACAATCAAATGGGAGGAATGACATCACTGGCAAATATCGTATGAAAACCTGAAGGGAAGGTAATCCAGCCTTGAAGGTCTTGCATGGAACAGGGTTGGCGTTCGATCCCCGATGGTTTAAGTGACTGGGCACCTTTCATTCTGTCTGTCCTGCCCCAGCTCCCTGTATTCATATTTCAAAGTGTTGTATAGACGTACTGACTTAGTGCTTTCTCCTGATGGTTACCTGACCTTAAGGGGAAGGTTTGGGGCAGCTGTAACCCATGTTATTCCTCCGTTATTATTACCCTCGCCAACAGTGATTAGCTAAATGGTGGCACGAATTATATTCCGAGTGAGAAACACAAACAAACAAAAATTACGAGAAACAAAAACTGTACCTGTAGACAACGACTCAGATACGGTGCCTGTAGACAACGATACAGATACGGTGCCTGTAGACAACGACACAGATATGGTGCCTGTAGACAACGACACAGATACGGTGCCTGTAGACAACGACACAGATATGGTGCCTGTAGACAACAACACAGATATGGTGCCTGTAGACAACAACACAGATATGGTGCCTGTAGACAACAACACAGATATGGTGCCTGTAGACAACAACACAGATATGGTGCCTGTAGACAACGACACATATACGGTGCCTGTAGACAACAACACAGATACGGTGCCTGTAGACAAGGACACAGATACGGTGCCTGTAGACAACGACTCAGATACGGTGCCTGTAGACAACGACACAGATACGGTGCCTGTAGACAACGACACAGATACGGTGCCTGTAGACAACGACACAGATACGGTGCCTGTAGACAACAACACAGATACGGTGCCTGTAGACAACGACACAGATACGGTGCCTGTAGACAACGACACACATACGGTGCCTGTAGACAACGACACAGATACGGTGCCTGTAGACAACAACACAGATACGGTGCCTGTAGACAACGACACAGATACGGTGCCTGTAGACAACAACACAGATATGGTGCCTGTAGACAACAACACAGATATGGTGCCTGTAGACAACAACACAGATATGGTGCCTGTAGACAACGACACAGATACGGTGCCTGTAGACAACACAGATACGGTGCCTGTAGACAAGGACACAGATACGGTGCCTGTAGACAACGACACAGATACGGTGCCTGTAGACAACAACACAGATATGGTGCCTGTAGACAACAACACAGATATGGTGCCTGTAGACAACAACACAGATACGGTGCCTGTAGACAACGACACAGATACGGTGCCTGTAGACAACAACACAGATATGGTGCCTGTAGACAACGACACAGATACGGTGCCTGTAGACAACAACACAGATACGGTGCCTGTAGACAACAACACAGATATGGTGCCTGTAGACAACGACACAGATACGGTGCCTGTAGACAACAACACAGATACGGTGCCTGTAGACAAGGACACAGATACGGTGCCTGTAGACAACGACACAGATACGGTGCCTGTAGACAACAACACAGATACGGTGCCTGTAGACAACATTTCGTGCATCTGGAAATCTATAGTTACGTGTACACACACCAGGTGGCGGACCAAGGACCTCACGAGCGTTGGTGGTGGTGGTGCTGTTACTGGTAGTGGTGGTGGTGGTGGTTGGTACTGATGGTTGTGGTGGTAATCGCGGTGGAGGTGGTACTGCTAGTGTCAACAGTAAG